AGTGGGAGTCAGTGGGAGTTAGTGGGAGTCAGTGGGCGTCAGTGGGAGTCAGTGGGAGTCAGTGGGGGTAGAACTGACAGTGAAAAAATACATATAATACTAAACACAAAACAATCCCCCAGCCCTGCCCCCACCCCTCTGCAGCAGCAGCTAAAAAGTTAAAAAGTTCTAAGAAGAGCAGAAATAAACAGTCGTCCAGTCCGCAGCAGTCAGAAAGTGTAGGAAAGTGTCCTACATCCAAATGACATGTTTTCTCTCCACACGGCTGTAATTACGGTGATTCTGCCCCTCACCTCCCTCACCTCCCTCACCTCCCTCACCTCCCTCACCTCCCTCTCTGAGGCAACACTCCTGAAACCATAATGAAGTCTGACCTGAACAATGACAGTGGAGAGCATTAGCACACAGGCTAACAGTCACCGCTGCCTCTGCTCTCCACTGGTATTAAACATTTACCAAGGCGTCCAAATGACATGAGATTAGGACAGACCTATAATTGACAGACACCCTGAGGTCTACGTAGACCAACAGTGGTGGGTGTCTCCAACTCTCAACAGCTCATTGTCTTCAAGTGTAGTGATGTCAGGTGGTCCCTGACCCACATCTGTCCATGGAGGACACTGCTCTGTTTATGTACAGTCAGCAGGGACGACAGCAGCAGCAGCAGCAGCAGCAGCAGCAGCAGCAGCAGTACTTGGCCCATTTAATTAAATGATTGGTCAGACAGTTGATTGGTCAGACAGTTGATTGGTCAATCAGTGTGTTATGAATAGGTTGGAACAAAAACCTGCAGCCATGGCGGCCCCTTGTGGAACAGTTGGGCCTTGACCATGCGTCTTTCTGGGTCTATCGCTGCTCGAGTTCCAGGTTCCATTATCAGCCACTGTTCTAGACTGAACATTCCCCGTGCCCCCCCCCCCAGACACAGACGTCCACGCCCACATACAGAGGGACACACTCACCACTTTATCTCTCACCTTCTCTCACCTACTAACCCACTGCACAAACATGTATTACCACTGTGTGTGCAAATAACAAGGTGTGTGTGGTCTGGGTCTGAAGTCATCGGTGCTCTACGTGGTACCGATGTTCCTAAGGTTCTCAGAGCCACGTCTTCACCAACATCACTCACTGTTGTAGGAGTAAAAAAGATGGTTTTGTATCTGTTTTAATTCATTTCTGCTATCGTTTGGGTCACGCCCTCTGATTCAAACCTGGTCTCCATGGAAACAATCAGCTATCGTTAACTTCTTCTTCTCCCCCCCTTCTCTCCTCCCCCAAAGGACAAATGTCCAAAATATAATTACTGTTCCTTTTCACAGCACAAGGAGATGCCCTGATGCCCCCCACCTCCTGCCCTCCTTTCATTCTGTCTGCCTGCTGTCTCTGAACACACCCCGACACACCTGTCCTTGATTAAGTGTGTTTAGACTGCTGATGGGGGGGGGCGGGAGGAGGAATTTAGATAGCAGTGAGTTTTATGAGACTAATTATCTTCAATTAGAGGTCTCCAGCCTCCACCCTACACTGAGACACACACACACACACAGCTAATCCAGTCTGATCCCACACATCATCACAAACACATATTTACACCTTTTCACTCCCTCTGCAGACGTCTCTCTAACCTGTCCTCAGTCTGAGCTGGTGTGAATACCAGCTGATGTGGACACGTCACCTGGTTCATATGTCTGACTGGTCAAACTATCTCACCGTCAGTTCTTGTAGATGGAGATGGCTCCAGGTCAGAGGTCACTGAAGATGATGTGAGAACAGAAGAAAAACACTGGAATCTGATGATGGTCAAAAAATCCTTCATCTCCGTGCTGGTTCTGGATGGACTAGTCACAGAGTTGACCAGGTTCTAGTCAACTTTGGTCAACCACAGGTCAGTAAGACTGGAGAGAGTTGACCTTTGACCTGAGGACAGGACAGAGGACACACTCTGTGTCTTTCACTCCTGGTGCAGTTCCAGTGAAATGCCCTGAAAACAGAACGGAGAGGTCAAAGCTGTGACCTGTGACCTTTCCAGTTGTTACAAACTTCTGGTAATAATTCCAACAACAATCATCATAGATGTCACCGTCTGCGAACATTCAACCACACACACACACACTAATCTGTGTGTGTGTGTGTGTGTGCTTTCACTCTCAACTTCCTTTTTCTGTCCAGCTGGTCAGTGGAAGAGGAAGTGACCCCCCCCCCCTTCCTGGCTGTGTGTGTGTGTGTGTGTGTGCATTAGTTCACATGTATAAAAGATGTGTATCCTCTTCATTATATGCTGAAAAGTGAGGAGGAGAGAGGGGGAGAGAGAAAGAAGGAAGAGGAGAATGGTGGAGGCAGAAGGAGAAAAACAGGGGAGGGAGAAGAGGTGAGGGAGAGGAAGGAAGAAAGAAAGGAGGGGGAGAGAACATTTATGGGGCGAGTGACAGGGAGAGGGGGGAGACTAGGACTCATCTGCTGTGACTCATGTTGAGAACCCTGGTCCATTTGAGGACAAGCATAGGTCAGAAGTGGACTGGAGCAGACAGACCTGGATCCAGACTCTGAGCTCAGTTCTGATCAGGGATTGGTCCGTGGATGTTGATGAAAGGTCCTCACACAACTCAAAAGACCAGCATATATGTGTGTGTGTGTGTGTGTGTAGGTTCCTGTTATTTGATGGTTTCCTCCAGTGACTGACACCGAGGGTTGGACCGGTCCATCAGTTGGACCACGAGAACAACAACACAGTACTGTGAAGAACTGTCTATTCTGTCCTGTTGTTTGTGCTCCAGTCCTGGGTGTGTGTGTGTGTGTGTGT